TGTATGAAATCAGTAAGTAATTTATTTCTACATTAATGTAAAAAATTAAAAACAAATAAACATTTTTTTCTTAAAGTTATTAATTTTTGAAGGGAAAAAGAACATGTTTTTGACACTATTTTCAATAAGGCCTACTTTGGTAACATGTAACTCGTTTAATGAGAGTCCTATGATATTCCTGATTTTTTTCTATGTTCCTTAAATCTTTCTGAATAATGTTATTTAAACAAATAACCGTTATCATAATAACTTTTTGAGATTATTAAACGAAACCGTAGGTGTGTTATCTTTGTTGGAAATTAAGGTACGAAGATGAGACAAAGTACACGTTACGGAGAATACGACACTTATTACGATTCATCAGCAAAAGTTTGGAAAAAAAATTATTTTAAGTAATTATTTGCAAAAGTATTTTCAGTTTTTTGCTTTATTGCACCATTAGCAGTCAGGTGCATACTACTGTAAGTCTTTTTGTCCGAAACTCCAAGTTTAGCACTACTACCTTTTTTTGGTCATTTTTTTCTGTGGTTGAAACTGATTTATAACTTTAAAGATCTGGTTTCTAAGGATGTACAGAGGTGTAAACACCCAAAATATTTTTCCTGTCTTAAGAAATTCAAAATTTTATGTAGGTTTGGGTAGAAGTGACCTGAAGTCCTCACTTACCTGCTCATGTCTACAATAATACAGTTTATCGCATTTAAAATGTTGACGCCTATAGGAAATGGTTTATGATGGTGTGCACCTTACCGCTAATGGTGCAATAAAGCAAAAAACTGAATATAGTTTTGCAAATAACTTCTTGAAATAATTTTTCTTCCAAACTTTTGTTGATGAATCGTAATAAGTGTCGTATTCTCCGTAACGTGTACTTTGTCTCATCTTCGTACCTTAATTTCCAACAAAGATAACATGACTACTATTTCGTTTAAATATCTCAAAAAGTTATTATAATAACGGTTATTTGTTTAAATAACATTATTCAGAAAGATTTAAGGAACATAGAAAAAAATCAGGAACATCATAGGACTCTTATTAAACTAGTTACATGTTACCAAAGTAGACCCTGTGAAAATGATGCCAAAAAACATGTTCTTTTTCCCTTCAAAAATTAATAACTCTCGAAATAATTTTTTTGTATTTCCTTCATTTTCTACAGTAACGTAGAAATGTTGTAGCTACTGATTCCAAATTGTTTCAATATTATGCGATTTTTATTACTCAAGATATAAGCGGTCAAAGCCAACTGACTTTACATTTTACACCGATAGTAGGTATCTATGGGTTTTTGGGTCGCTGATTACGAATCTGATGTCAGATTTCAAAAATTCAAAATGGCGGATCCAAAATGGCGGACATACAATTTTTAAAATTAATCGATTTTTATGAAACTTTGTATATAGGGGTTTTTTTTAGGTCGCCGATTACGAATCTGATGTAAGAATTAAAGTGGATTTTAGATTGGGTGAGATTCGCCTACAATTTTTGGCTTGGGAGTTTTTAAGTTTGGTGATTACAAAACTAGTGTCTATACAATTCAGAAAATAAAAAAAAATTTCCTGTTATTAGCCTACAAAAATAAAACGTACTGTAATTTCCAGGATCTACCACGAGGAGGTTATAGGTAAAGATCCCGTTTTGTATTTTTTTTTAGATTTTAAAAATTTTTTTAGTTTTTTTACACCTGATGTTTACTTATAGGTATATAGTTTATCGCGTGGGTATATCAGGTGCACATGTAGTCCTATTGGAGAATCTGCTTTTATTTCCATGGATCAGGTAAACACTCCATTTCATATCTAAATCTGATTTCAGAAAGACAGTGCTCATTTTTACATTTTTAAAATCTGACAACAGATTTTTAATCAGCAACCCGAAAAACCTCTACATACCTATGTTTCATTGAAATTGATTAATTTAAAATTTCTTATTACCGCCATTTTGATTTTTTGAAATCTGACATCAGATTCGTTATCAGCGACCCAAAAAACCATAGAGTTATTAGAATAGAGTGCGCAAGAGACCAAAATGTTTCTTAGGCAAATTGACGGAGACAGCCATACGAAAAGTAGACCCCTTTTCTTTCTTTCTCTAATAACGCATGTGCGATAGTGAAACAGCTGATGCATCGAAACAACTGTTGGTTGCTTGCTGGCAATTATGTTTTTCTTTTATTTACGTGACAAAAAATAATTTAAAAACATTTTTAGCAGGAAAAATGGTATTTTATGTTAACTTTACCTGCTTTCAATTTATACTCATCGCCTAAGAATGATTCTCACGGTAAAAGGTATAACTCGCGCACTCTATTCTAATAACTCTATGCAAAAAACCCATAGATACCTATGTTTAATTCAATTTTATTAATTTTAAAATTTTTATGTCCGCCATATTATATCCGCCATTTTGAATTTTTCAAATCTGACATCAGATTCGTAATCAGCGACACGAAAAACCGTTAAATACCACTGTTCATCATAATTGATTAATTTTGAAAATTGTCTTTATATATTTATTGCATATATTTTTATATGTTTATTGCAATATTCTTGTTATGTTGCAAAAATATGAAAAGGCGCAAAATGGCACATATTGGCGTCAAAGTAGACATGCTAAGTAATCGTTTTATAACTTCTTTTTCCAAATATTATGCGCGGCTCGGAGGAGCTCGACTTACTAAAAGTCGACTCTCTATTGAAAAATCCACTATTTGTTAACTTCAATGGAGCTACATTTTAATAAATTTTATTTTTTTTTGTAACTATTGGTTTTTTTACTTCAATTTATCTGTTGATGAGAAAAAATAAGTACTTATATAAAAATAATTTATTTATTTCTAAATATATTAAGTTTTTTAATCAAAAACATTTTATTTATTTATTTGTTTATACACCCGTCTTAAGCCTACAATCTTGGCTATACAAGTGTTTTTACAACCGTAGAACATTCCTTACAAACATTTCTTAATACTAAATTTTTGCGCCTACAGAGCGACTTGAAAATTTGGAGTACTCGCATTTTCCTGGACCACCCGTCTAATGGGTTTTCTCGCCAGTGGAGAGGGAAACTGTAGAAAACCTCTCCGAGTACAACCGGTTTATCGACAGTCGAATTCTAATGGTGTGTACCGGACAATAATCGACGGTGCACATCATTATACTTCGACGTCAAACCTCCCGCTCAGATTGTCTCACGTGCCGGAAAAATCCCAGGCTAATGGGCGCGAACCAAGTACCCTTGGTCCGCCCACCGAGCCAGGCATCTATCCGACTGAGCCAATCTGTCGGTAAAAAAAAACATTTTATTATTTTATCTTAAATGTTAAACTTTAAATAGTTCTAGAAGACACAATTTTTTATTATTTAACAAATCCTTTTTGCAATAAATTACTTATTTACTATTAAATACTGTGGATTAATTTTTTTGTGCATATTTGAAAGTTGAAAAATTGTATTTTTGGCCAAAATTCGACGATCCTGGCCCACTGTGCCATTTTGCAAAAAAAAATTATTTAACGAAGTTAGGCGCATTTGAATTTTTAAAACTGCGAGGTCTGATTTCAAGAAAATGACGGTAAAAAATATTAAAATTATTGTATCATTTTTGTATCTGCCTATAATGTAATGATTCTTTTTGTCCCTAATTCCGGATTAAATGTTCTTTGAAATCCTACAGGTTTAATTAAAAAAAATTTAAATTTAACAAAATGGCGGCTATTTTTCGAAAAAAAATCAAATCAAATTTTCACATAAACTCCAGTGTTTTTTTTCTTCTCGATTTTTTTATTACTTCCTAGAAGTCTAACGATTATTTTCCAACAGAATTATTGGGGTCCCGCGACTTAAAGTCTTGAAAAATGATGTAAGTATTTATTACAACTGACATTTTTACACGGAGAGAAGAAAGTAGTCAATCATACTCAACCCTGAGTCATAGTTACTAAACAATATGGTGACATTTTCGTTCAACAAAACAAAAAGTAAACTTCAATAAACGGCTGTTTAGTTATTAAGACTACCAACTTCATTAGTATCGTCTACGATATGAAATGTCATATCTACTATTTTGTTTACAATTTGCCAAAATAAAAATTAACCTCTTTTATTATAGTTAAATAATAATAGTTTTATAATAATTAAATGTTTCTAAGTAAATAATTTTGTCAGTGATACTAATTATTTTCACAAGAATTTGTTATATGTGGGGATTTTACAAATATTTTACAAAAAGACATTGAAGGTTATATAAGGTAACTGTTTAATTGAAAAATAATTATAAAATAAAAGATGACGGAATGATAAATTTGAAACTTGTTTATTCGAACGTTCATTTACAGAGACTGTCTTAATATTACAATTTATTGTCGTTTTAATATCGGAGAAATCCTTTTTCAGGTAGTGGTGGTATCCCCAAAAGTGACCATCTTCATTGTTGTAAATCATCGGTATTGTCTGTAACAAATAAAAGAAAAGCTTCCCCTTTCTCAGAGGGCGTGTCGCTGTAGAAGGAATAGCATTGGTTGGACCAAATAATTATTAACAACCATTCATATAAACAAAGATAGATAAATATTTATAACAATGGAAGAGGTCGACCTTGTGTAGTTAAATCACTACTGAAGTGAATTACCTGCCAGTAACAGGAGTTCAAAAACAAAAATTAGATACATAGAATAATTTCAAGCAATGGTTTAAACAAACCGCCCGCCTCATTCCAATTATTGGAATGATGATAGAAGTAAGATGTATTCCTTTTTCAATTTGAAATTAAAAAAATTAAGATGTAGATGTAACTTTGAATTAATCATAACAATACAAGTAATAACAAATGTAGAAGTAGAATGTAACAATTTAATGTCAGATGTAACTTTGAATCATTCATAACAATAGAAATAATAAAAAAAATGCCGCCCGCCTTGAGACTTCAGTTCGTTGATTATAGATTTGTTTCTGTTTGGGTAGGTAAGACACATAATTGTGCAATGGATCTTTGAATAATACCCTTTTTAGTTTTGACTGTAACAACACGTACTAACCCGTCCTTTCCTGGGTGAATTTTAAGAACGCGACCCATTTGCCAATTTGATTTTGGAAGATTAATGTCTCTTATCAGAACTAAGTCACCAATTTTGATGTTTGGATTTGACTTCGTCCATTTATAACGCTTTTGAAGATCTTGTTGGTACTCTAAACTCCATTGTTTCCAAAATTGCTCAGTCTTTTGTTGAACTAATTGCCAACGTGTTAAAAGACTGTGTTGACTGGAAGGTAAAGATTTTTCAGGCATAGCTAGTAAGGGTTTTCCTATCAAAAAATGCCCTGGAGATAAATACGAATAATCGTCAACTTCGTTTGAAAATGCAGCAATAGGTCGTGAGTTTAGACAGGATTCTATTTGACATAGTAATGTGGTTAATTCTTCAAAAGTTAATGTGTGTGGTCCCATTATGCGATTAAGGTGTTTCTTTGTGCTTTTAATACCTGCTTCCCAAATACCCCCAAAATGTGGCGAGTATGGAGGAATAAAGTCCCAGTTGATATTAAATGCAGACATGTCTTTCGAAACTTTAGGATCACATTTTAAGGTCTTAAAAATTCGACGTAATTCTTTATCAGCTCCAACGAAATTTCTACCGTTATCACTATATAGATTTGAAGGAATTCCACGGCGAGACACAAATCTTTTTAAAGCTGATAGAAATGTTGAAGAAGAATAGTCGCTCACTAATTCTAAATGAATAGCTCGCGTTACCATACAGACGAATAGAACTATGAACCCTTTCGTCGATTTGTAACCGCGACCTTTATTTAATTTAACTGAGATTGGTCCTGCATAATCCAAACCGCAATGAGTAAAAGGGTTTGATGGAGTTACTCTACAAGATGGTAAATTCGCCATTAACTGTGATTGAAGTGTAGCTTGATGACGGGCACAAGTCAAGCATTTATGTACAATACTACGAACTAAATTTCGACCTTTTATTATCCAAAAGTTTTGCCTAAGTAGAAACAAAGTCATTTGTGGACCTCCATGTAAGGACCTCAAATGAGTTTGCTGGGCAATAAGTAAACTTATCCGATGATTAGGTAGTATGATAGGATGCTTGGTTTCCCAAGCGATAGGAGCATTACTTAAACGACCAGAAACTCGCAATAGTCCATCTTTGTCTATAAAGGGATTAAGGGCTTTTAATGGACTAGATTTTTTTAGATTCAATTTATTCAAAGTCGCTCTTCTTTCACTTGCAAAAAACTGTGATTGAAGATTTTTAAACAAAAATAATTTAGCACTATGCATTTCAGCCTTGTTATTTACTTCTGAATTAGTGGACTGTAATTTTGTTTTGCATTTATTGATAAACTTGAAAACGAGGGCAGTAATTCTCAAAAGTTTAGGCCAACTGCTATATCTATTTGAAAGTTTATTCACAAAATCGTAAGATTGATCAGTTGTAGCCATGTGAATTTTGGTAGCAGTAGTTTTAACATCGCAGTTATAATTTAAATCAGGTAGAGTAGGCCACGTCGTAGGAGAGTCACTTAACCACTTAGGACCGGACCACCATAATTCGTGATTTAATAATTTCAATGGGTAGATACCCCTGGTAGCACAATCTGCCGGATTATCAGCAGTCGGGACATGTTTCCAAGATGCAGTTGGGATAAGAGATTGTATTGTTTCAACTCTATTGGCAATAAAAGTACGCCATGTTGAAGGATGTTTGGATAGCCATGCCAGAACAATGGTAGAATCTGACCACCCATATACAGGAACGTCGTCTAATTGTAAATCATTTACGATCTTTTTTAATAATTTAGCTAATAGGACTGCCGCACATAATTCTAATCGGGGGATAGTTAATGTTTTTAAAGGAGCTACTTTTGTTTTTCCTAGTAATAGTGACACATTTATCTTTTTTGATACGTTTTGTATACGCAAATATACTACGGCGGCATAAGCTCGCGAAGATGCGTCAGCAAAACCGTGTATCTCTATTACATCATGAGAAGTTAATCCTGTCCATCGTGGGATGGTTATTTTTGAACGTTATTAAGTTCATGGCAATAGGATTTCCATCTTACACTTAAATCATCAGGGAGAGTTTCGTCCCAATCTAAATGTCTTATCCAAAGGTCTTGAATTATAATTTTAGCTATTATCAAAATTGGAGAAATCCAACCTAAAGGATCAAACTGTTTAGCGATAACAGAAAGAACATTTCTCTTAGTAAAATTGACGTTAACTACTGGGGACATAGAAATTCTAAATACATCATATTCTGGATCCCAATAGAGTCCTAGAACTGCTTTTGAATTAGTATCATTTAGTATCAATCGTTCGCTATATTTAGAAAGCTTAGAATCACTCAAGAGGGGCGAATTAGATGAAATTTTGTGAACCGGGAAGCCACCTTTGGCAAGAAGTTGAATAAATTCGTTTTTAATTTGCAAGGCAGTTTCTAAATCATCTGCTCCGAAAAGCCCATCGTCAACGTAGATATCATTTAATAATATTTGTTTTGCTTTTGGAAAATTATCTCCTTCGTCATTAGCTAATTGTTTTATTACTCTATTTGCTAAGAAAGGAGATGACGAGACACCATAAGTGAGTGTTAACAATTGAAAATGTTTAATTTCCTCTGTTTCGTTAAGTCTACAAATAATTCGTTGGAAATTAACATCTCTTTTATCAATTTGAATTCGACGAAACATTTTACTAATATCCGCAGTCATAACAAAACGATAATTTCGCCAGCGTATTATTATAGATGGGATGTCGGCGTGTAACTTGGGACCAGGAAGTAGTAAATCATTTAAAGATACTCCTGTTAATGTTGGAAAGGAAGCATTAAATACTATGCGTAGTGGAGTGGAGGAACTACTCACACGTATGACTATATGATATGGTAAATAATTTTCTATTTCAAAATTAGAATTTTGTTCGTCATTATAATCAATTTCAATCATATGTTTTAAATCTTTATATTCATTGAGAAAATCATAGTAATCTTGTTTTAACTCGGGATTGTTTTGTACACGGCGTTCTGTTTGTAAGAGTAAACGTTTGGCATTTTGAAGAGAATCTCCTAAACGTTCAGGAGGATCATTTTTAAAAGGGTAACGAACAACATAATTTCCTTCTTCATTTCGAGAATGTGTATTAACAAAATGCTCTTCACATTTTGTTTCATCGTCTGTAAGATTACTTTTTTGTTGAAATTCTTCAATTTCCCAAAATTTCTGCAGATCATTATGAATATCTGAAAGCCCTACACAATGATGAACGACTTTACTAGTTGGGGATACATTATTGAGTGAGTTTAAGGGACCCGAAATAATCCAACCAAATACCGTAGCTTGTGCTGTTGGTGATCGAACAGGACCTTTAATAAGACCTGGTAAAAATAATGAACCGTAATAATCCGCTCCAATTATCATATCGAATTCTTTATTATCAAATGGTGTTGGGTCAGCTAAATCTAGGTCGCGAAGATGTTCCCAATCACTAAGATAATCTGCTTTTGATACAATATGATTATTGAGTTTAGGGAGTACTAACGCAGATATGGGAATTTTCTTTTCGAAATTTTGTGTTGGTGTGATAATAACGTTAACGAGTGATTTTGCAGTTCCGAGAAAAGCATTATCGATTCCAGTTACACGGATCATAGCTGGTTCTTTTTTAACCCGAAGCATTTGAACAACTCTTTCAGTTATAAATGTTACCTCGGATCCTTGATCTAATAGAGCTCTAATCTCTATTCTTTCACCGTTTTTACCAACAACACAGATTTTTGCAGTTGCTAAAAGTACTGTTTTACCGCGTATATGGTTCAAAGAAACAGTGTCGTTTTTTGGGGTACTATTAGATTCTTTTTGATTTAATACTCTTTGATCTTGTAAAACTTTTTCTACTTTTTTGGGTATTTCAAGTTTCTTATCGGCTTCGTTTTTAGATGCTTGATTAAATTTTTGATTACTTTCTGAATGGATCAAAGAGTGATGTCTCTTGTTACAATGGAAACAATTTTTTTTATTACGACAGTTTTTTGAACTGTGACCCGATTTTAAACAATTAAAACAAAGATGTTTTTCTTTAACAATTTCTTTTCTATGAACTACAGAAAGTTGTTTAAAAGAATCACAACTAAATAAATAATGTTTACCATTACACAGAATACATTTAACATTTATAGCATTCATAGAAAACGTTGAAGCTGTACTTGCTTGGTTTTGAGTAGACTTTGTAGATTTTAAATTATCTTTTGCATTTTGCAATGCTTCTAGAGTTCGGATACGGGTTGCTAAAAAACAATCAAGTTCTTCATATGAAGGGTATTCATTTTTATCACCAAGAACTTTTTCCCATTCAATTAAGGAAAATTTTCCCATTTTTCGCGAAACGACAAAGACTAATAGATCACTATCAATATTTCGACCCAAAGATTTTAGTGCTTGTACAGCTTCAGACGTTTTATCTCGTAGATTTTTTAAGTCTTTAACTGTTTCGTTCATTATAGCAGGGAGTGACATAAAATTATTCAAATATGAATTTATAATTGCTCTGGAATTTTCATACCGTTTTGTAAGAATACTCCAAGCGCTTTGATAATTTTCAGGAGTAGTACCTAAATGTTTTATTAGTTGTGCTGGTTCGCTTAATAAGCTTGATTTCAAATAGTGCATTTTTTGCACATCAGGTAAGTTGGGGTCTGATGCAACAATAGACTGAAATAAGTCTTTGAAATTTTGCCATTCTAAATAGTCGCCAGAAAATTTGGGTAATTCTATTCGCGGTAATTTAGCAATTTTTGAAGAATCAAGGCTGCTATTGGAACTTGTACTATTTCTATATAAAATCAATTGTTCTTTTTTAAGCTTTCCAATTAACTCATTAAAAGTATCTAATGTATTCAAATAAACTTCCTCTGCTTGAACAAAAATATCATTAAAAAAGTAAGGAATTAACGACTTATCTGAACCATGGGCTGCTTTGATGATCTTCAAATCCACTCGCTGACAAGCATTCCATGCCGTCAACAGATATTGGCGTCGACCTTCTACTAGTTCCAAAGTAATTTGATCTTCAGAACGTTTTCGGAAGTTGACTAACGCTCTTTCAACGGCGCTGATGTTCACTTCTTGTTCAAGTATTAATTCATCCATGACGAATCACTTTTGTTTAATAATCACTCACTCGCGAAATTACACAAAAAATAAATTTAACTTTTTTAACATTTTATTTTTAATTCGATTAATTAATCCGGCTCGAAGGACCTTTTTGTTTAATTGAAAAATAATTATAAAATAAAAGATGACGGAATGATAAATTTGAAACTTGTTTATTCGAACGTTCATTTACAGAGACTGTCTTAATATTACAATTTATTGTCGTTTTAATATCGGAGAAATCCTTTTTCAGGTAGTGGTGGTATCCCCAAAAGTGACCATCTTCATTGTTGTAAATCATCGGTATTGTCTGTAACAAATAAAAGAAAAGCTTCCCCTTTCTCAGAGGGCGTGTCGCTGTAGAAGGAATAGCATTGGTTGGACCAAATAATTATTGGCAACCATTCATATAAACAAAGATAGATAAATATTTATAACAATGGAAGAGGTCGACCTTGTGTAGTTAAATCACTACTGAAGTGAATTACCTGCCAGTAACAGGAGTTCAAAAACAAAAATTAGATACATAGAATAATTTCAAGCAATGGTTTAAACAGTAACAATACCAAACTAATTAAAAAATTATTATTTCTATAATTGTTTAGTTTAATAGAGAATATTATAAAATCGATATATTAATATTTATATATTTCTTTACAAAATATATTTGTCGCATAATTGAATAAACACTTACAATTTTTTTAAATTATGATAACAATAACCTAATATTTATTGTAATAACAAGCATAAATAATAAGTATAATAAGTATCACAGCAAATAAAGTTTTGAAAAATAATATTTTATCTCGATTTCGTTTAATTTTGTAATAGGTTGCTATTTAATTAATTTAAACATATTTTTATAGTTCAATTAATAATTTCATTAAAAAACTTGAACAGAATTATTTTTGTTTTCTTCACGAAGCAGACATTCATCTTCACTACTATGTTTAGTTCGATTGACAAAAAAAAAGTTGAACGTTGTTTTGTAACCTTTACTTATTATTTATTTGTCCCAACTCAAATTTTCTTACTAAATGCGTAATAGTACAACCCACTATAATTCTTCTCTCCGTGTACTTTTCAGAAAATTTAAATTATTATTAACTGTAACACGCATTAGGCCATTATCGCCTGCAACCACTGAAACTTTGTGTTTAATTTATTTAAAATATAATTCATAATAGAACTTAGTATTTATATGTTTTTAAGGTCGCTTATTACGAATCTATAACACAGGCACACAAAAAAATAAAAAAGTCAAAACCCAGAGGTTACACCCCCCTATCCCCATGTCTTTGGGGTCGCTAAAACTGAATATGACCATTAAAAATTTTTTTCATCGGCCATTTTCCCGCTACCACCCCCTTACACCTGCTCCCGGGGGTTGGAATTTCAGTTTTAAAAAAAGTGGAGTAGGGTGTCTATTCTTATGTTTTTTGGGTCGCTTAAACCAAAAAAGACTACCAAAAACAAATTCTTCCCTCCCTTGACCCCCTACAACTCCCTTAACAACCCTGGGGTGAGGGGTCGAAATTTGAATTTTCACGAAAAGTCGATTACGGTGTCTAAACCTACGTTTTTTGGGTCGCTGAAACCAAAAAAGACTACCAAAATCAAATCCTTTCCACCTCCGACTCCCTACAACCCCCTGCAATAATTTTTTTCAAATAAAACGAACCGATTTTTGGGAAATTGAAAATTAAATATTAATTATCAAAAATTATTGCAGGGGGTTGTAGGGGGTCAAGGGTGGAAAGGATTTGATTTTGGTAGTCTTTTTTAGTTTCAGCGACCCAAAAAACGTAGGTTTAGACACCGTAATCGACTTTTCGTGAAAATTCGAATTTCGACCCCCCACCTTTCGGGTGTTAAGGGGATTGTAAGGGATTAAAGGAGAGAAGAATTTGTTTTTGGTAGTCTTTTTTGGTTTTAGCGACCCAAAAAACATAGGAATAGACACCCTACTCCACTTCTTTTTAAACTGAAATTCCAACCCCCGGGAGCAGGTGTAAGGGGGTGGTAGCGGGAAAATGGCCGATGAGAAAAATTTTTCATGGTCATATTCGGTTTCAGCGACCCCAAAAACATGGGGATAGGGGGGTGTGACCTCTGGGTTTTGACTTTTTTATTTTTTTGTGTGCCTGTGTAATTAAAGTTTCAAAATACAAAATGGCAGATTTATTATGTCGGACAAGAATTTAAAAAATTTGTTCGGTTCACTTGAAAATTGTTACTCAGGGATTTTTGGGTCTCTGATTAGGAATCTGCAATTGGATTTTCAAAATACAAAATGGCGTATCTAATATGACGCATAAAATTTTCTTAATCTATTAGATTTGCTTGAAACTTGTTACTTAGGAGTTTTTTGGGTCGCTAATTACGAAACTGTAATCAGATTTTTTAAATTCAAAATTTCGGATCCAGTATATGTCAGACAAAATGGTTAAAAATCAAATCTAGTCGCCTGACTAGATTATTATTAGGAACTAGCGACATATACCTCACTCGCTAACGCTCGTTCGGTTGTATTTAAACTTATTTGTTTTTACTTATTTATTTTTATTTATTTGAACTAAGTAAATATTTACTGGACGCAAATATTTTAATTTATGGTATCAAATAAATAATTATTTGAACCAAATACAAATTACTTAAGTCAATTAAATGGAATAATTTTATCGCTGGGTTAGTGGACAAAAAGGACACCTCGAATTTTGGTTCAAAATGAGGACACCTCGCTTTTTAGTTGAAGAAAAGGACACCTCGAAAATATTAATTTTAAATGCATTTTTGTTTGACGATAATATCGTTTTCTGCAAGTGGAATGTACGTATGTTTAAAGAACATTTTAGAAGTTACGTATCTTCCAGGTTCAGTGAAGAAACCACGTATCTTTCTGTTCCGTGCAAAAACTACGTATCTCTGTCAGTCGCTTTAAAAACTTCTAATAATATTCTAATATTTTTAAGAAAAAAAATTAAATTATTTAAAAAAAAATATATTTTATTGCATTAACTTTTGAAAAAATTATTACTTCATAACAAAATATTAACTTCAAAATAATAATAATAATAATAAAAATAATAATAATAAAATGTAGATCTTCTAAAGTGACTGACAGAGATAGGTAGTTTTTGCACGGAACAGAAAGATACGTGGTTTCTTCACTGAACGTGGAAGATACGTAACTTCTAAAATGTTCTTTAAACATACGTACATTCCACTTGGAGTGAACGATATGTGTAAAGTAATTGACTTATGATATTTTGTGCTCAAAAAACTATGAAGATAATATGTTCTTAAATCTTCTATTACAAAAAACAATTACATTACACATAGTATCGCCTAGTGATGCATAACGAGACTTTGTCCTTTCATAAAAGGAAAGAGATGAAACTGTAACATTAAATTGTTTTCATTGTATTTTTCGCGAGATTCTCGATATTCGCTCGTAATGCATCACTACTAGTATCGCCAAACGAAAGTTGATGTAAAATGAATATTTTCGACGTGTCCTTTTTTCAACTAAAATGCGAGGTGTCCTCTTTTTCAACCAAAATTCGAGGTGTCCTTTTTTTCGACTAACCCATCGAAATGAAGGGAATATTACATTTCATATTCGGAATATTCTAGTGGAATGTTCCAGGGATCTTAAAGTAATATTAAAATGTCCGCCCCACAGGAATATTCCAAAATAACATTGAGGGAATGTTCCACGGTAATTTCGAAGTAATATTCCAGGATGATGTTGAGGCAATATTCCACCGTAATATTAATGGAATATTCCAAGGTAATGTTGAATGAATATTAAGGGAATATTCCCAGAATATTCCCTGGAAATATTCATATCTTTTACAATTTTGAAAGAAATAACGAAAGCCCTAACATAGTAACAAAGATTCTTTGGGCTGACACTAATTCTCCCATTACCCCACAGAATTGTTACAGGCCAAAATTTGAATAAAAAAATAAAAATATTAACAAATTTTATTATTATCTCGATTTTTATACAAGTATACATATCTACACATATTCACCTATAATATAATGAAAAAGCATAACTAAATAATACGATTTTAACTACTTATGGTGATGTTTAGAAATATTTTGCATTTTACAACGAAAACTAAAAAAATACATTTTCCCTTGTCTTTACTAAAAATTTGTCAAGAATGTAATCGTTTGTTTTGGAATGATATAAACAAAGGTTGTAGAAGATTTTCTAGACATTGCAGCGAATTTTAAGGCTTTTAAGTACGTGAAATTTAAAAGCTCACATTACCCCACGCTCCCCTGCACAAAAAATAAAAAAGATATTTCAAAAATAATATTTTCCCATCTTTTAGTACTTTTGACCCATTTTTCCCTAAATTTTTTATTAAAACCAGCCAATATCGTAGGTTTAAACTTGTTCACAATGTGAATCATCTTAAAATGCTATATGGGGCGTTCCATGGCTCTATGAACCGACGAAATTTTGGTTTTGCTTATACCCAAGCAGCACGGAATATAACCTTAAAATGAAGGGAATATTACATTTCATATTCGGAATATTCTAGGGATCTTAAAGTAATATTAAAATGTCCGCCCCACAGAAATATTCTAAAAATAACATTGAGGGAATGTTCCACGGTAATTTCGAAGTAATATTCCAGGATGATGTTGAGGCAATGTTCCACCGTCATATTAATGGAATATTCCAAGGTAATGTTGAATGAATATTAAGGGAATATTCCATTAATATTACGGTGGAACATTCCTTCAACATCATCCTGGAATATTACTTCGATATAATCGTGGAACATTCCCTAAATGTTATCTTGGAATATTCCTGTGCAGCGGACATTTTAATATTACTTCCCCAGTAGCACGTAATATTACAGCGATATTGAGAACATTGCCTTAACATTACCAATATTGCCTCAATGTCGTGGCATATTGCTGGAATGTTCCCAATATTACGTGCTACTGGGGTTTAAGATCTCTGGAACGTT